ATTCAGATCGTAAAGAATTTTCATTCATGCTGCTTGTGGAGCAAAAAGTCCAAATTTTAGCTGGAATCATTTCCGCCTCCTGATGAACCCTTCAGAGAGCATGCAATACCTGTTTCCACACTTTATGATTTAAAGCACTTTCCCACATGGGATGAAACAGACGATAATGTTTATTTATTAACTCGAAAAGCTCTTCTGCTTTCTTTTGTTTCCCATTATTATTCATATTATTGTTATGTTATGATGCAGTTCCATAGGCGCTGAGATTTACCTCACTTCCTCCTCAAATCTAGTCTCCATTACAGTTACTATACATCCCCTTAAATGAAAAGCCACAAAACAACATCAACAACATAAAGAAAAGCAGAAATTTATGATGCCATGAAAGTAAATAATGTTCTACCATATGACTAATGCGCTGTTGAAGAAATGTAACAGAGGGCCCGGCACAATAGTGTAGTGGTTGAAGTCCTTACCTTGCATGCGCCGGGATCCCATATGGTCTCTGGTTCTAATCCCGGCAGCCCCTGCTTCCCATCCAACTTCCTGCCTGTGGTGTGGGAAAACAATTGAGGATGGGCCAAAACCTTGGAACCCTGCACCCATGTGGGAAACCCAGAAGAGCTCCTGGCTCCGGGCTTCAGATTGGCTCAGCTTCAGCCGTTACGACCGCTTGGGGAGTGAACCATCGGACCGAAGATCTTCTTCTCTGTTTTTCCTCTCCTCTGTATATCCACCTTTCCAATAAAAAATAAATAAATCTTAAAAAAAAAAGAAATGCAAAAGAAAATCAAGAACCTTCTTGTAGAAAATGATGTTGCTTATGACTTATGAGTCAGTGAAGAACTTAATATGTGAAAAAATGTTTTGATGAAGTGAAAATAAAAACCAAAAAATCAAAATCAATGAGATATAGTTTCTGCTGATTTTTGTTGATAAGATGCGTCTCCCGTAGGCAACGGATGATTGATGGTTTTTGTTTTTCAATTCATTCCACTAATTATGACATTTCATTGATGAGCTTAAGTCGTTTCCATTCAGGGTTAGTGTGGTAATTTGGACCTGCCATTTTAGCAATGGGTTGTTCATTGTTTGATTTAGTCTTCTGTTGTTTTACTGGGATATTTTTCACATTTGCTTTTGGTTTTGGTGGATGCTATTACATTTCTGTCAAGAGAGTGTTTTGATAAGTATGATTTGTATGGCAGGTGTGGAAGAGGCATATTCTTTGAGCTTTTCTTTACTGTGGAAGAATTTCATTGCATTTTCGAAGAGAAAGGAAAGCTTTGCTGGCACATTATGCTGGACCAACAATTGTTTTCTTCTTAGAATCTGGAAGATGCTCCAGTCTCTTCTGGCTCCAGTCTCTTCTGGCCTCTTTTCTGTGGTAGGTCAGCTGTCAGTCTGATTGCCGTTCTGCTATCTGTCAATTGATTTTTTTCCCTCCTGCATATATAAGGATCTTTTCCTTATATTCAATTGAAGAGCTTGATTATCATGTGTAATGGTGAAAATTGGCTTTGTTTTGCCCTGTTGGGAGTTTTATGCTTTTCCTCTATGATTTTCCTCAACTCTTTCTCCAGATTAGGGAAGTTTTCCTTTATTAGTTCATTGAATACAGCTTCAAACCCAGCTTCTCTGTCTGTGCCTTCTGGAACTCCCATTACTCTTATATTTGGTCTTTCAATAGTGTCTCTTAATTCTTGAATACTTTGTTCTAATTTGACATAGCTCTGCTTTGAGCTTTTTGATTGTTTCCCCATTATGACAAGAAATATCTTCCAAGTCTGAGATTATTTCTTCTGCTTCCTTCAATCATTGAGACTTTCCAATGAATTTTTAATTTGCTCTGTTGTGTTCTTCATTTCCAATAATTTGGCTTCATTTCATTTCAATGTTGGTATTTTCTGTGTATCATATTCCCTAAAATCCTTGAACTCCTATATGTGCATCTTGTTGTTGATAAGAAGTTTTATAATGAGTTTTCTAAATTCTGTATCTGCCATTTCCTTGATGTATTTCTCAGTTAACACAGATTAGCAAAGGCTTTTACTCCTTTGCAGGGGAGTCTTCAATAATATTCATTATGCCTTTGTCTCTTATTTTGCTCTTGGTTGTTGTACTTCTGGTTAGCAGATTCTTCTCCTTAGGGCAGGTTTCTAAGCTGTGTCACTCACAGGTCTACAGTTTGATTTTACAGATTGTGCTTGGTACCCTGGTATTTGTTTGTAGTCTTTTTTTTTAAAAGATGTATTTATTTTTAATGGAAAGTCAGATATACAGAGAGGAGGAGACAGAGGAAGATCTTCTGTCCGATGTTTAACTCTCCATGCAGCTGAAACAACCAAAGCTGTGCCAATCTGAAGCCAGGAGCCAGGAGCTTATTCCAGGTCTCTCACGTGGGTGCAGGGTCCCAAAGCTTTGGCCTGTGCTCCACTGCTTTCCCAGGCCAAAGCTTTGGCAGGGAGTTGGATGGGAAGCAGGGGCTGCTAGCATTAGAACCGGCACCCGTATAGAATCCCAGCACATGCAAGGTGAGGACTTTAATAACCACTACACTATTGTGCCGGGTGCTGTTTGCAGTCTTGTGCCACTCATTGCAGAGAGTTTCATGTCTCAGCTTCTACCATGGTCTCCATAGCCCCAGCTCCTGGCTCACCACTCTCCACCTCCTGGTGTGCAGTTGCTCCATGGTGTGCAGTTGCTCCATTGTCTGTATAGCCATCTCCCACTCCCGGTGTGAGCAGTTCCCTTAAACAGTTAGAAATAGAGCAGTTATATGATCCAGCAATCCCACTGCTGGCTACATATTCAAAAGACCTTAAATCAGTGTACCATTTTTATTGCAGCACTATTCATAGTAGCCAAGATATGGAATCAACCACAGTGTCCACCAATAGATAAGTGAATCCAGAATTTGTTGTATATATATTTAACCACAAAAAGAAAACTCTAGGCCTGGCACTGTGGAATAGAAGGCTAAGCCTCCACCTGCAGTGACAGCGTGCTCATATGGATTCTGGTTTAGGTTCTAATTGCTCCGCTTCTGATTTAGCCCCTGGCTTATGACCTGAAACAAGCAGAAAATGGCTAAAGTCCTTGGGTTCCTGCACCTAGAAGAAGACCCTGGCACTTGACTTCACATAGCCCTGGCCTTTGCGGTCACTGGGGGGATATGGTCAATCAGTAGATGGATGATCTGCTAAGAAAATGAAGCCAGGATCCAGGAGCTTCTGCTGGGCCTCCTATGCGGGGCAGGGTCCCAAGGGTTTGGGCTATCAAGCCACAAACAGGAAGCTGGAGGAGAAATAGAGCAATGAGGGCATGAACTGGTTGGGATACTGCAGCTTGCAGGTACAGGATTAGCCAGTGGAGTTACTGCACTCGGTTCTGATTTTTTTTTTTTTAAGAATGAAATTCAGTCATTTGGAGCAACATAGGCAGAACTTGAGAACATCATATTTCATGAAATGAACCAGCAGGGAAACACACACACACACACACACACACACACACACACACACACATACACACAGCTCCATCTTTACACAGAATGGTTGTTATCAGAGAATGAGAGTGGCAGGAATATATAAAGGGAGTTTTGATGATAGGTGCCAAATCAGAGTTGGATCAAATGGATAAGTTTCTAGGGCTACTCAGCATGGTAACTATAGATCATTATACCCTAGCGCATGTTTCATGTGATAGAAGAAATAGGCTCCAACACTTCAACCATAAATTAGTGTCAAAAAAGTAGATATACCATTTCCATGATTTGATCAGTACACATTGTGTACATGTATTGAATGTATTGAAGCATCACACTGTGATTCACAAATAATTACTATTATTTTAGCAAGGAATTTACATTTTCCCCTTTCTTTTCTTTTTGTTCTTTATTTTAGTAGCAGCATTTTTAAAAAAATTTATTTTTATTGGAAAGACAGATGTACAGAGAAGAGAGACAGAGAGGAAGATCTTTCATCTGATGATTCACTCCCCAAGTGACTGTAATGGCCGGTGCTGCACTGATCTGAAGCCAGGAGCCAGGAGCTTCTTTCCAGGCCTCCCACGCAGTTGTAGGGTCCCAAGGCTTTGGGACATCCTCTACTGCTCTCCCAGGCCACAAGCAGGGAGCTGGTTGGGAAGTGGAGCAGCCGGGATTAGAACTGGTGTCCATATAAGATCCTGGTGTTTTCAAGGCAAGGACCTTAACTGCTACACTATCACACCGGGCCCTAGTAGCAGCATTTTAAAGAAGAAAGAGATCTATTGACTAGATGTGAAAAATCACTCATAAAAGCCATCTCAAGAATAATTTTATTAAGAAATAGATAGTGTTAATTATATAGTAACATGTACATTTTCAAAAGTGATTGAACATGATTTAAAAACACATTCTGTAATCTTACAATATGCCTTATAATTATAATAAAGGTATTTCTTCAGGATATTTTTAATAAAGCACTTATCTGCTGCACAATTTTTCAAAGCTGGCTTAAAATACTTTCACAATATTTCACTTAAAATTCTTTCAAATTTCTTTGCTACATTTTTCTTACATTGTCTTATTTTGTAAATTTTCTTAGAAAAACACAAAATGTATCATCACAAATAGAAATGCCTTTCTTTTAAATTGAAGTTTGAGTGCTCTCATTGAGTTAAAATTTTCCCTTATCCAAATGAAAATGTTCTTATATTACACTTTCAGAGTTTTCCCTGAGTGAGGCTTCTGCAGTCCTAGCTGAAAATTACTTCCAGAAAGCCAGTCATCAATATGATATTTTTCCTGGACTTTTGTTAGAAAGCACTTGTCCTGAATTTAAAACTCTATATTAAGCAATAAAAAATTTATAAAAAATAAATTAATATATCTCTGCAATTAAAAATAACTATTGAGTGGTCTTTGAAACATCACAGTTAACGGTGACATTTAATACATTTAATAGAGATGATTTCAGTTCTGTGAAATATGACTATGAGAAAGATGGTTTATTTGCTTAAAATCGGCTAAACCGACGCCACAATCCTAGTAAATGCGCAGCTTTTTCCAGACACTTCCAGGTGATGACTTCTTTTTCCTTTGTCTTCATTTTCTGGGCACTGTTTGTCTGCGGAATGAGAGAATAAATGGTCAAAATTAATGTTCTCTATGTTTACCGATGGTCGAATAGGAGGTTATGTCCCCTTTCCTATTCAAATCTATCTTAGCAGGTCCCACCTTGGGAGGTGCCCACTGCTCTGAGCGTGTGTCTCCTCCCGACGAGGAGTCTCATGCATTCTCCACGCACTCACTTTTGCTTTAAGGCCAAACACTATCTCCTTCTGAAAGCCTTTGCTAACAGTTGGATCTTTATTTTTGGAAACTTTGCCAGTGCTTAAGGGTGTGTGTCACTTCACTTGCCCCTCCCTTACACGCTGCTTTGCTTGCATCATAGATGTGCCCTATGTTGCTGACTGCGTATTGCCTTCTCTACAGGAAACACTGAACATTTATTGAATAATAAAATGAGTAAGTTGATGACTTCGTGATTTCCCGGAAATTTTTCAAAGGCAGAACTCACATCATGTCTGTTAATACATAAAATTTCAGAAACCTATCCTATTACTTGAACTCAAAAATTTATCTTTTCCCCATGCCTGCATCACCCTGACACACCCTGAAACAACTCAAGGAATTCTGGTGTATTCCATCACTTGAATCAACCCTCAGTCAATGCACATTGAATCTTACGGTGACAAAGTAGTTTGGTTGATGAAGTTCACTGAACTACTAAGAGAAATCTTACAGTGTAAAACCTAGCATATCATAGTCAAGGATTGCTGGTGTTAAGCATTTCTTGAAGTTGTGAGAGAGCTGGAATCACCTTCTCCCGACTCCCTTCCTCATGTGCTTGTTTCCAAGGACGCGATCTGGAGTGTGACTGTGCTTTTCTTAAAGAAGGTTGCTTTATTGAAGCCGTCCACAGAATCCTAGGGTATTGAGTTCCTAACTCAAAATTCAACTCACATCTGTCCCATGGCTTCAACACCCAACCCCTAAAAACTAAGAGTTGATCAACTACTCAAATCACATTCGCCTCCTTGTGTCTGAAAACTTCTACAAGGGACACAAATTTACTGCTGTACATGTCAACTGAAACGTTTATTGAATACATTTTCTAAGCTAGGCATTATTCCAAATACTTTTACACATACTGACTCATTTAATCCCCTAAATACACTATTTGAAACTTACAAATATGACACTCACTTGACCCATAAACCAAGACGCACAGAAGCCATGCATTTATCCAAGTCTACTCAGAAGTTAAAGGACTAGGATCGAAAGTCAGGCGGGCTTTGTGCTGGGTTCCTACTGGCAACTGCACCACACTGCGTCGCCATTTAAAGCTACACACCCACCCAAATGCATGCTACTACATCAGCAAGCGCGTCTGTGTAGCGCATCTATCACCCAGGCGAGCAATTAAGCACATCTAAGGTAGAAATTTAATGTACAATGTAACATTTAAAGAAAGAAGCATGCTATCTTTAAGAGCTAGATCTGAGCTAATATGCTCAAATTTTGGAATGAAAAGAATTTCTCTAAAATATTTCCAGACCCAGAGGTTTTGTTCTGGGGAGTCTGGGTTAGGCACCTGGGTCTCCCTGCAAGAGCGGCCGCAGCCAGGACATTTTGAATGACGAAACTCCCTCGTTCTACTAGAAACACTGACCTAAGATCTACAGACATAACTGAAACCAAAGAGAATCGAAAATGTAGAAATAGGCGGGTTTGGGTCTGGATGTCACCACACAGTTTGATCTGATTTACTGCTCTTGAAACGACAAAACCTCAACACAGACCACGGAGCGTGCTCTGCGCTTCAATCGTTGCGCATTTGGAGGGCGGCTCCGAGTTAGGGAACCGGCCTGGCGAGCGAGCTTTGGGCTTACCTGAGTTCTGGAGTAGCCAGGGCACTGGGAAGCAAGAGTGGCCCTGGTTTGCTCGGAGAAGTCTTCGGTGGGAAAGGACTCACAGCCGTGGGTGGGAGTGAAAGTGTCGCGATCGATAATAGTCAGACACTCTGACTGCTCCCGAGTGGTCAAGTTCGCCAGAAAAGGAAAAAAATGGGAGAGGAGGGAGGGAGGGACGGCAGGAAGGGAGGGAGACAGAGAGAAAGTTAGAGTTCAGTGAAAGGGGAACCCACGAAGGCGGGGAAGGAGATAGTCACTGCAACCCTTTAGAGGAAAGCCGTGGAGGTCCCATGCATGGGCAGGGGGACGTCGCTCGCAGCCAGGGCGCGTAGCGGGTAGGTCGGCCAGCTCCACCGGCTCCGCCCCGGACTCCCACCCACGTAGCGAAAGCCTGAAAGCTTGGGGGTGGTGCCCTGGACGTGCTCCCCATCCTAGCTTCCAATCAGTCTCTCCTGTCAGGAGAGGAAAGCGCAGTCTCCCGGAATGCCAAGCAGGCCTGATAGAACCCCTTTCTCCAAGCTGTGCAAGGCTCCGCGCAGCGCAGGCTGCCTGCTGAGGGGTCCCTGTCCCCGCCGGCGTCGCCCCGGGAGCCAGCACAGCTCGGGGCGCAGCACACTGCAGAACATGGAAGGATGCCCGGTTCTCGCATGAATTACTGGCTACTTTACTCACCGGATTATAACAGGACACGGTGGGGTTGAACTGGGTACTTTTGGTCTAGATGGGGGGAAAAAACAAATCCAGCAAAACCGGTAAAGGGAAAACCATTCTCTCTGCCCTCCTCGCTCCCTGACTCTGAAGATGTTCTGAAAGCTGTGTCCCCTTGGGCACTTATTTCCTCCGTCGTTGTCAAGCAAATGACATATTCCGTTTTTACATGGAGCTGGCTAGAACTTGGACTTGGGCACGCGGAAACACCCAGAACGCTCGAAAGCTGGGGAGCGCGCAGCTCCCAAGAATGCTCTCCCCTTTTACCCCCTCCTGTCACGCTCTGTCACCGCTGTCTTTGCACTGTCAGAGCTGCAAGTTAGCAGAGGGTAGACACTCTTGAGACATGGTGTAACCTGTCAGTAGTCGTCCCTCCTCATAACACAATGTGCCAATTTCTACATCGTCATTTTAGATGCCAAGGCATTTGAATACTGCTTATAAATGTTCCTCTACCCAAATCTGGGTCAGGATTTTTTCAAGTTATATTTATTTCCAGTGCAAGTTACACTGTAGTGTGTGAATGTGACTCTCTGTGTGTGTCCAGCCTGATGAGCATAACATTTGTTTAGGCAGATGTTTCTTTACTTACCCCCTTCATATATCTCTTCAGCCCAAAATAAATGATATTCTCATATGTGTCTCTAATCTTCCCAAAGTCACAGTTAGTGAAGCTGTCAGTTAGCACCAGCCCTACTAGTTGCATGATGATGATCTTCCTGAAAAAAACTGACAGAACAAATAGTATGGCATATGTCAATCCACTCAGAAACCCATTTCTTGCCTACTTTCACACCAAGTTCCCCCCACGAAGGTTTCATTGCTGCTAGGTCTGCTGGGCCTGCCTTTGGGGGTCAAGGGCTTAGACACCAGCCTCAGCCTCTTGTTCCCAGTCCCCAGAACCCCTATTCACCCATGTTGTTGCCTGAGGTTGGAGTCTCCCTGCTACTGCAAAGCATGCTGCCTCCATATATATAACACCTAAACGCCTACGGGCTCTTTTCTTGTAGGCCAATGATTTTCTTTGATGTCATCCTTTATAGAAAAGACTGATGCTGTGAAAGGAAGAAAAAAAAAAAAGCAGGACTAGCCAAATTTATGGAGTTTTAGCATTAGCAAAATTGTCGGGACTTTCCCATACCTTCTTCCTTCCATCTATGTGCTAAACTTTTGGTATGTGGCTGAATGTGCTTTAAGAAAAGGATGCCCACATTTGTCTCCCACAGGGTGTTTCCATGTCAAACCTGATCTTTTCTCCTTAGAAATAACACCTTGGGGACCATTAGCTACTCTGTGGACATGATATGGCTGCTGGGGCATCCTGTACACCTCTGGGTCTTCTGGTCAACTTCTATACCGTTTTCCCTTTTCCTCAGCAGCTGAGAAGTTCTCAGGATGAATGTAGCCTTGGACTTGGGCTGTGCTTCCATGTGAAGTCAGCAACTGTGCCATCATGTCCAGAACTCACCAAAAGAGTTTCAAATAAATGTGGCAACTTCTGATCTCATACTCAGAAACCCTTCTTTCCAAAGCACCTGCGTCAGTAGCAGGAGAAGCAGCTTCTCTTGGTGACGGGGGAGATTCTGGGGTTGAAATCTGCTATAGCACATTCTAGCAGATGTCAAGAACTTCTAAAAACACAAAATCCTGCACGCAGCCACTTTCCTAGCCTCTTCCAGGAGGGCAGAGGGAGAGGGAGGACCACGAGCCAGTGCTGCCTCTAGCGGGGCAGCTGTCCAGCACTAGCATTCCTGCAGCGGCACAGGTTGCTGTGAGCACCCCGTTCCTCAGCGCTCAACGCAATCAGGCTAACCTGTTTCACCTGACTCTGGGCACGGACTCCACGGATAAAAGAATCAGCAAGATAGTAAGCTCTGCTAGGTGCTTGCAAATCTTTGTTGACCCACAAACAGATCACGCACCACATAAGTTAGAAAGCATTTCGGAGAGAATGTCTAGCAATCTTTTGTGCACCAGAAGGGAAGGAGGCAGGGTCAGCTACTACTGTAAATCCTTTTCTGCCTGGGCTTGGGCTGAGACGTACTGGATTCTCTAACACCCAGCTGCCCCCTCCCTCCCACTTCCCTCTCCCTCTTGCGTGTCAAAGCCTGTGTCAGTGGTCCCAGGGAAGTTCCTAGGAGTCATCAGTCTGAGAACGCCAAAATTTGGCGCTCCACTTGAATCGCAGCAAATGTCACAGACCACGTGGGGTCTGGGAATGACAGCAGGGAGTGACGAGGGATGCGGGAAAAGCAGACACTGATGAGGGAAATTGGAGCCTGCGGTGATTTTTTCCCCCCCATTAAAAAAAAAAAAACAAAAAACAAAAAACTCAACAGTTGTGCCAATACAGCTGGATTAGCTTGCTAGTGTTAGGACTGGAACTAAAGACTGGTCCACAACAGAATGCGAGGGAGCCTCTGATTCACCAATGACTTTAAAAAACGGGCTTTGTTTTTATTTTTAGCCCAGCAAATATTGGACTTGTGCCGTGGCAGCTTCCTTTGAAAAAGAAGTCCCCCTTCCTATCTGGGTCTTCTATCATCAGCTGATGACGTTAGAGCCTGATTCATGTGTTCTGGCAGCTGAGATGATGGATTGGACAAGGCCGACTTGAGATAAGAATGAATGTTTCTTTCTTTTTTAAAGATTTATTTTTATTATTTTTCTATTGGAAAGGCGGATATACAGAGAGGAGAGACAGAGAGGAAGATCTTCCGTCCGATGATTCACTCCCCAAGTTAGCGCAACGGGCCGATACTATGCCGATCCGAAGCCAGGAGCCTCTTCCGAGTCTCCCGCGCGGGTGCAGGGTCCCAAAGCTTTGGGCCGTCCTCGACTGCTTTCCCAGGCCACAGGCAGGGAGCTGGAAGGGAAGCAGGGCTGCCGGGATTAGAACCGGCGCCCATATGGGATCCCGGGCGTGCAAGGTGAGGACCTTTTTAACCACTTGCGCCACCGCGCCAGGCCCGAGAATGAATGTTTCTTTGTTGGAAGATTGCTTTGCAGGATTGGGGTAGCACACTGATAAGGGCAAGGCATTGTGACTGTCTTTGCTACTTGAATTTCATAGGTCCTCCCTTGTAAGGACTTGTGATAGGATCAGGACTGTTTGTACTTTCAGCTGCATCTTTTGATTCCTGATGTATCCACGGATAGCAAAGAGCAGCCCTGCTGAGGTTTGACTGGTACCCTCTCTCAGGCAGGCTGCCTTCTTTCCCATTGTGTTCTTTAAAATGTAACAGCCGGGCCTGGTATGGTGGCCTAGTAGCTAAAGTCCTCGCCTTGAACGTGCCAGGATCCCATATGGGCACAGGTTCTAATCCTGGCAGCGCCACTTCTTGTGGCCTGGGAAAGCAGTCAAGGACGGCTCAAAGCCTTGGGACCCTGCACCTGCGTGGGAAACCCAGAAAAGCTCCTGGCTTCTGGCTTCGGATTGGCTCAGCACCGGCTGTTGCAGTCACTTGGGGAGTGAATCATTGGATGAAAGATATTTCACTCTCTCTCTCCTCCTCTCTCTATATATCTATCTTTGCAATAAAAACAAATAAATCTTAAAAAAAAATTATGGCCCTGTCATCCATGTTCATGTATAAAGGGATAATAAAGGCAGGCTGACTTCTCAGGGATCCTTGAAGGCAATCTACTCACTGCTTGTTCCTGTGGATCAAAATTTCCATGTCTTTAATTAAGTGACTTGTTAAATCATTTCGATAATATTACTTTCTGCTCAATAACTTTTGGGAGACATGCAGTTCCTTAGAGGTTTATAATTAATCCAATTAATGTATGAATTCCAAGCTGTCTTTCTACTTTTATCTACTTCATTGTTCTAGGTTTCTGTCCAAAGGCTGAAGTAATGTGCTAGAAACACGTTCTGAACTTTCTTTTTCCCAATTCCACTTTCTGAAGGGGTGTCATTTTTGTATCACTCTATTCTCATCTGATAGTCCCTCCAAAAATGGACTCATACCTGGCAGAAACATCAATATCTTTTAAACCATGCTTAATTGGGTTTTCTTCCTTTGGCTTCCATTGATTCTATATTTTAGTGATAAGATCTTATTAGGTTGCAAGTTATTTAAAAAGCAGAACATTTTGATAATATCTACTCAGTTTTTCTAACAGCATTGCAAGTGGTTTTCAGTATGTTTGCTAGTCTTTAAGGGAGGAACGTGCTAAGATAAAAAAGGAATCAAGGCAGAAAAGAGGTGGGGAGCAAAGACAGGAAAAATAATAAAAATGAAGATAATTTGGCTTAACAGTATTTTCTGGGCTCTGAAGTAGCCATAAGCAAAGAACAATTATGACTGGCACTACAACATACAAAAACCTTCATAGGACAGTAATGTTTTCTTGCACATACAGTTATTGTCAAAACCACCAGTGGGTTCAGTCTTAGATACTAAAATCAATAAATCCTCAGTATGAAGTATAATGATCTTTTCTGAACATGATGGTGAAAAAGCGAATTATTTCCTAATGGAAAAAAACATTGCATATAATTTATTTGGGGGGAGTTGATTCTTTTTTTTTTTTTCTTTCTTTTTTTTTTGCCTGCCATCATCCTGGAATCTTCTTCTGACTCACCTAGGAAAACGATTCAGGCCAGAGCACCTTTATGAAAATTCCTAGTGAACTGAAGAGCTTCCTGCTTTTCTCTTAAAAAAAAATTTTCCCCAATTGCTGAAGATGTGAGCAATATCTCCATATGAAGCTTGAGAAATTCTAAGTCAAGAATGGTGTGTGTTTCATACGATGGGACATAGACATGAGGTCACTTGTAGCCCTCTGTGATTGCTCAAGAGGTGTAGGCAATATTTTCACGCATGAGAAGAACCAGAAAAGCATCCACGGTGTGATTTTTTTCTCTTACTCACATTGGGAAATTTATCACTCACTTATTTCCTTAACACTTTCATTTTTTGTTTAGTAATAGTTTCCATTGTCTCTTTGATTTCCTCATTTTCCCTTCCCTCTTTTAAAGTCTTTTTCCCCCTTCTTTTCTTTGAACAGTTCCAAATATCTAAAGCAGCTTAACCTTCATGTAAAGCTCCATTTGATCTTGAAGAAGTAGAACCAAGTCAAGAAAAAGGCTGCTATTTTCTGAAGAATGTTAAAGCATGTAATTATTGGACATGGACATTGGAAGGGACATGAGACAGATTCTTGATAAAAAGGGAGTTATCTCCCTTCAAGGAGAGAGAGGGCAATTACACAAACATAGCTTATGTTTTAGGAAGTGTCACAATAGATTTTCTCCTGAACAAAGATGGCCTTTTGGATTTGAAAACCACTGCTCTTGATTAACAACCAACTTCATGTTAGAAGCATGGATCCTTCTAAGATCATTTAGGAACATTTGTGAGCCAGAAATTGGAGTGATGGAGTTTTCTATGAAAAGATGGGAAAAATATCACTTTCATTTTATTTTGTTGCTGAGTGGTGATATCGATACCATCATTCTATGGTGGAGAAATGTTAGATGTTTTTGAAGTAAGGATTGGAGGAGGTTAAATAGGCACTTTTGAAGAAGAACTTTGTGGAAATTATCACAACAGGTTGTGAAATCTATACATTACTCTTTTTATAATGTGCAGCTTACATACATTTTTGAAGCCCAGTCACATATTCCTGTAAACTTAATGTTTACCCTTATTTTTCTAGAAAGAAATGCTCTTACCCTCAGTCAACTTCAGGTAAAAGAAGATTTGGCTTGCTTTATCATTTTTCTACAAATATAATCTCAAGATAATTCAAGAAGGTAGGAGTTGAGATTAGTAAGAATAGTCCAAAAGAATTGTTGCAGAAAAGAGAACTGAAAAGGTGGTCTCAATTTTGTAAACTTTGCAAGGATATTTACTATGCTGGGTATCTTCTATTTTTTCCTTGGTATATTTTATGACCTTCCCTGTGCATCCTTTTCACTTTGGGAAGTTGTCCTATGAGAACTATACAGTAGGTTTCTCATGACTACCGGTCTCTGGTTGGATTCAGTCAGTGAGAGATACTGGCAAGCAGCCAGAAGATAGTGGGTAGTAGAGTGAGGATTTCAACTCACCCCTCCCTCCTGTTGGGTGCTCACACACTGGATATTCACCTAATCTAAAAGCCACAGTGCCTTTTAATGGATCTTTTCATTTATTCTCTGCCAGGTTCTGGTAAGCAGATCCTTCTTTATTCCTTTTACATCTAGAAGAGATATAACAGTTCTTGCAAAAACTTAAAATTGACTCAATTTACGCCATTGTCCTGGAACAATTCATTAATAAACCTTGTTAGCATAAAGTGACAAGGGTTTCAACAATAGGCACAGTGAGTATTATTGGCTTTTTATTTTTTTACCCAGGCTTCTTGAAAACAGTCTCTTTACCAAACTCCACTGCGGTGACCCAGTTTGAGTGTACTGTGTGTGTCTTTTGGCCCCTGACTGATGTGGATGCCCACAGTAG